GGCACGGTGGTTTCCGTGTGCGTACGAGAGAAAGAAAACGTCTGCGGGAGACGATTGTGTGCACATGGGAGAGAGAAATAAGAGAAGAGAGCGAATGTAGAGCTGCGAGTTAGAAAAAGTACGAACGAGCAACTGAAGTGGGAGTGTAATGCAATTGGGGGGGGGGGGGGGGAGAGAAAGGGAGAAAAGCGAGAGTAAGAGACGACAGAATCAACTGACGGGCACGTCCTGGTTGTAGGATCGGTGATGCCGAAGAGGGAGGATGCCGCGATGGCGGCGGTGACCGCGGCCGCCAGCGAAACTACGCAAGCCGTGGAGAATTTCGCGAGACTCTACACGGCACTGCGCCACGACGATGCTAGGCCTCTCTGTCGTTACTGCGGCAGAAGCTACTCGTCGCCGAGCAACCTTCGGCAACACGTGAAAAATGTCCACTCGAATTGGCCGCCACCGGAGACGTGGCCCCAGTGCAACGTTTGCGGGAAGCGCTGCAAGACCAAGCATTACCTGATCAATCATCAGCTTCAGGCGCACGGGATACACCAGCGGCCTAGCCTGAACAATCCCAATCAGCAGCATCAGTCGCCCTCCTCGTCCTCCTCGTTGCCATGAGTACGGTCCTCCTCGTCCGCCGTCGCGTTGTCGCTCGACGACACCCATAAAAAACGTACCGCGACGAGATGAAGTCGGGGGTCGTTGCTCGACGTTCGTCGATACAGCGCGATCCGCGATTCGATGTCGAGCTGCTTTCGAATTCTGACGCTTCGCTGTCGCGTCAACGGCGGCCAAATTATTCATCGATGGTGTATTTTTTTTTTTTTTTCAATTATCAATTATTCTCGCGTTGGAAATTCGGTCGCGAAAATACGCTGCGAACTGGGTTATACGTCTATTTCTGTACAGGGTGTCTGGCGAGGTACTAAAGAAACCTTGCTCGCGTATCGCCAGGTGATTCCAAACGAAAAATGACTACAGTTGATCGATTGTATCGAGAATAATATATTTACGGATCTTTTGCAACGCAAAGAATGTTTATTTCGGTAACGAAGTATAGTACCTATAGCATATAGGACATTCTTTGTTTGAAATGACCTGGTCACCACATAGTAGAAGTCGACTCTTTGAATACCTCAGCTCGCGATACGTGGGGAATTGTCAGGGATTAATTCGACATGCAAGACTATTGAAATAAATGCATACGAACACATGTTTGTTTGATGTTGTTTGCGAGACACGCAATTTGCACCCTATCGAACGTATTTAAGTGACGAAATACAAAAATTCAACAAAATTTGTCAACAAATTCGAGTAACACCAGAGGATCGAAAGAGTAGCCAGGTCGCTGACAAGACACATTTACAAACACGCGTTAACACTAAAACTATCGAGGTCGACGCGTACCTATTATACGTATAACTATACCTCTGTACTTAGAGAACGGAGGAACAAACTAATTTATAAATCAAATTGATTCTCTATTACACTAATTGTCTCCAAAAATTGCGGTTCAAACACTGTTAATAATGAATTGATTTTAGGAAGAAGTTTAAAGTACAGGGGTCAAATTGGCCGACTCGATAGTTTCAGTGTTACAGTGAAAACTAACCGAAAATATAAAACTCGCTACATCATAAGCAAAATCAAATAAGATACATGTTTGTGTAGACTAAGTTACTCCCTGAAATGTTTCGCGCGTATCACGAGGCACCCTGTACAGCCAATATCGAAGAGGGATCTCGAAGTAATCTTGACATGATCGTTAACGAGTGGCCGGCTGTATCCGCGAGTCCATGTTAATCGCGAGATTCCTATTTTCCGTAGAAATCGCAGACGAGCCGATAGATCGTCTGGAGAATCCTCGCGGAAAACGGTGCAATCATCTGGCTGTAGGGCATACCGGGACGATACGACGCGCTTAATGTTTCGCGATCACGATAGCGGATAGGGGTTACTACGCGGCATGGAAGCAGTCGTGAGATCCGTATCCATATTCGAACGCATGGCACGAACCCTCTATCGAAACCCCGGCTGCTTACAAATGTTTGCAAATGGTAATTTTATGAAATGTGTAATAACGAACGCTTACACCTCCGCCACCTTCGAGCCAACAAGAGGTTTAAATATGTTCGACTCTCCTCCGTCGGGGAGCGTGTTCAGCCGCCGTCAGAGGCGAAACGCTTTCGTAATAATCTGGCACGTGAGATTCAGCCTCGAACACGTTCGAGTGGCTCGCTTCAGTATTCGATTTACGCGATGATTGCGCGGATTCCGTACGGTCCTGTCTGCCAATTGCGCGCGATATCGAGCGGAGAGAGCAATTAGCGATCCGCCAGATACCAGCAACCAGAAACCATTTGTGGGATGTAACCCCTCCCCACCCCTAGATAGTCCGCATGAACCGGGGGTTACGGGGTGGGCGGCAGCTTTGGTACTCTGTTTTTATTAGAGGTTTGGGGTTGGGTTTACGGTGGTGGTGGCTGGTGGTAACGTTGGTGTGGTGGTGGTTGCAGATCACGGGCTCGATGAGGCAGAGGGCGCGGCTTACCACCACCACCACAGCCATCACCAGCAACATCATCGGCATCGTCATCATCATCCACCATCCGTTCCTCCTCCTCACCATCACCATCATCAGGCGCTACAGGAAGACGAGCAAGACCAGCCGGCGGCTACCACGTCTACCACGGCGAGCACCACGACGACCAAGTATCAGCGCAGCCAGCCGGACTTTAGACAGCAGAAGATGATGCGCGATCATCATCAACAGCACGGTTACAGGTGTCCGCTTTGTTGTAGGACGTTGCAGGACATCAGCACCATGAGGGCTCACTTGGAGCATCACTATCCGCGCGATTCGCCCACCTGTCCTGTTGCCTCCTGCGCCAAAACCTTTTCTCACCCTAACAGCGTGCGGAACCACATGCGATTGAAGCATCCCGTTCAGTGGGATCAAATCAAGACGCTCAGATGGACCTACGTCTGATAAAGAGGCGACGGGCGACGCTGGGTATTCTTCCAAGGGTGATTCTCGCAGACCATGCCAGTGGAACACTTTTTTTCGCAGTAATCCTTCGTAGCCGTTTGATTTGGTACTCGTCGACGCGTTCAACGGTCGTTTTCTTCTCCCTTGCACCCCCTCCCGCCCTCTTTTCTTTGTCGTAACGATTGCACGCGACTCGATATCGTTTCTCGAATGGTGGAGGGTGCGTTTTTAACGGAAAGGTCTCGCGTGCCAGAGTCTATTAAACGTTTCTAAAGGTTAGACGCGAAATTACGAGGTAGTTAGGAGTAAGTATATACACAGAGGGTAAAGAACGACTTTTGAGCCGGGATATTCCGCTCGAAGGTTGTTCTTACGTGCTTTATTCTTGAAACGCCGCACAAGCACCCACCTCTCCTCCTGAGACCTGTACTCCCCATTGAGAAGCGCACACTTTGTAAATATTCGAAAGATTATATTAAAGAAAGAAAAGAAGGAATATATTATATATATATAAATAAATAAATATAAATATTATAGAGAGAGTATATATATGATGAAGAGTAAATCTATCTATACATATATAGAAAGAGAGAGAGAGAGAGCGTTGATTTTGTATAAAAATGTACGATGCAGTATTTCCAGTAGAGCCTGAAAGACAGAAAAACGTTAGTCACAACCATAGATAACGTGTAATAATAACGTCGACGTTGAACATAAGACTACGATGTCGATGATGACGACATTAATGGTTAGGTTACGTATCTTACAAGAGAAAACAATGTTCCTCTAAGCTGAGTAAGCCAGCCTTACGTTAAAGAGCGTAGTTTTAAGACCTTAGCAGGGAGTCGAAAAATATTATTTACGAGCGGAACGCGTCGAACTCGAATCGAACACACGCGTGCGCACTGCTGCGCGGTCGTGGACACAAATAAACAAACTTTATTCAGTCGCAAAGATCGAGATCGTATCGGTAACGAGAATAACTTTATAATGCTTCCGTAATTGTTATCCGAAGTAACGCGAGGCAATATTACGCATATATTTACACGGAAACACACACGCATTCATACGCGTAGAGAGACATATTAACGGCAGATGTAATCGCGCGAACTGTATGTCGAGGAGGTCGGTCAGAGCGCCGACGGACAGTCGACTCGATCAACGCCTAGCCTTATTTTTCTACAGTCTTGTGTTTTGTCAGTATTTCCTAGGTGAAGAATTTCCCAGGCCGGTTAAAGTTTTCGACACACGTGTACGATAGTTACTAGCGATACGCTGCGACTAAATACGGGACAAAATATATATTCGCGTGCACGGGTCGTTGGTCGCGCGTGCGGTTGGAACATCTATCGCGATGCAACGATTACGACTAGTCTCGATCCATAAATCTCGATTTCCGAGAGTCGCGCGAAAAGCGCGGTCGTTTTTTTCAATATCGTTAAGCCGACTTTCCGGTTACTCCGTCGAATCGCTTTCACGACCGACGTCTCGTGTCACGGACAATGTATAGAGCATCATACGCACTATTTTAGCAGATATTAGCGTTACATAAGATTATACATACGACACACGAAATAAAGTATAATACTATTTAAGTAATGCTTTGTACAATAAAAGGTATTCAAAAAAGGTAACGTGGCTCATCAATCTTCGTTTCATGGATATTCACCTCTATTTCTTTCTTTTTCAACGACACTCAGTTTAGCCGAGCGATCCATTAACGGTTGAGGCGGTTCCAGAACTTAGATCAGCGTTGATAGATGAATTCTTTTTATTTATTTAACCTGTCCATCGCGCATAACCAACGGCTTTAGTCCAAGAGTCAGGTAAAATAACGAGTGCAAAGATCCCAAGTGCAGTCGAAGCGTTGTTTCTAGACCTAGTCTCACTTATCTCCTAAGTTCGCGTTTTTTCTTTATTTTCTATCGCGTGAATTTTGTTTCCGCTAATCGTTGACAGGCCATCCAATGCGGTGCTCGTTTCACTTCATCAGTCTTTTGTTTATCTTCTTTTTCAGTCGCCCGGCGCGGTTTGGACATGACGCGGGTTCGCGCCACAGATCCACGACCCTGCCCGAAATGCGGCAAGATCTATCGATCTGCCCACACGTTGCGCACCCACCTGGAAGATAAGCACACGATCTGTCCAGGATATCGATGCGTGTTATGCGGGACCGTGGCCAAGTCGAGGAATTCTTTGCACTCCCACATGTCACGACAGCATCGGGGCATAAGCACCAAGGACCTGCCGGTGCTCCCGATGCCCAGCCCGTTCGATCCTGATCTGGCCTCGCGTCTACTGGCCAAGGCGGGCGTCAAGGTGAGTCCTGCGGAATTGCGTGCACGTGCTAGCCCCACGGGACCCAGAAGAGGGGACATGAGGCTGGAGATACCGCGGGGTGGGGCTCCGTCCGAGGCAGGCAGCAGCATTTGTGGCGGCGACGACCCCGAGGACCTGACGCTGCCCCTGAGCTTGAGGTACGGCTCGCCGACGCCCAACAACAACACTGTGATCACCAAAGTCAGTGGCAGCAACAGTAGTAGCAGCGCAAAGAACTCGACAGCGACCGCGATAGCAGCCAAATCCCTGGACACGATGCACGGCAGTCGCGAGCCGAACATGGCGCCTCTGCATCCACCCGGTCACCTTCATCCGAGCCATCACAACACCAGCGCTACGGGATCAGCGATCCTGGACACTTACCTGCAGTTCATCGCGGAGAACTCTGGCCTGGCGACGATGGGACTGAGCCCCGAACAAGCTGCAGCCGTCGCGGCCGCGCATGCCGCCAAAATGGCTCACATGAGTGGAATGGACAAGCTAGGCCGCGGCATGGAAGACTATCCGATGATCGGGAGAGACGAGGGCCGAGGATTGGGCGTAGTGCACGACGAGCGTCAGGACCTGATGCAGGATAGGCACGGCGTGCTTATGGACGATGGCGAGTCGTCGGGGGGCGAGGACGACGACTTCAGCGAGAACGAGGAACCGGAGATCGTTAAGGCTGAATAGGTAGCGCCTACGCGCGGGGGAACATGTGACCTGTTCGTGACACGTGACCCGATTAGGAAGTGCTTAAGGGGACCGTGCGCCTTGGATTTAACAGAACCGGCCACGGTCTTCGTTCACAGTCAAATCCATCCACTACCTCAGTAAAGACTTACCCCTGTTTTCTTTTGTTGCGAGAGATACAATTTCCAAAGAAGAAGGAAGAAGACGACAACGACGCAGCACGATACACCGATCCCACCCCATTCTCCAAACGTAGTTTGATCAGAGAAACTTAATCATCCCTCCTTCGTGAAACGCGCACGAAACGAACGGTTGTTTTGTTGTCCACGTCAGCGCGACGTATATACATTTAACACCCCGTTAATAATATTCCATCTGTCTACCTCAGTGAACACGATAAACGATAAGTGATAAGGGCAGACCAAGACGAATCTCATGGACGAAGAAAAGAAGAAGACGACGCGAGCAGGTCGCGAGACGGCCAGCGAAAAGTATCGCTGTGTCGTTCACGGTTTTACGGAATTTATATTGGTCAAAGCAGGCGACGCTTCACAGGGCGTACTCGCATGGAAAGAAAAAATAGAGAGAGAGAGAGGGGGGGGGGGGTAGGGTGAGCGAGAAGCCAGGTGACGCCAGGGCAACTCTTTTATTCTTTTCATTTTCTAAAGGTTTAAAGAACGGTGCCCGTCGCGAGCACGCGACGCCCGAGAAGATATTATATTATATTATATTATTATTATTATTAATATTATTATTATTATTATTATTATTATTATTATTATTATTATGATATATGAATGTTGAGGAAAAAAATATATTGTCTAGATTTATAGTGAAGTTAGCGTACCACGAAATGTACGTACACATGCGAAGGAAATCATACAGACACACACGTACACACACATTAGGTAACAAGTAGAGAGGGTACGTATAGCGTTAGGATTAGCACCCCATATTTTTTAGAAACGCGTGCATTTCGAAAACAGACACATGGCATTACGTACACGATACACTTTAATACCACATTCTTGAATAAATACGTACAGACACGTACGTTCGTACACGAGAATACGGAAAAAGATAGTAAGTTATGACGATATGTGGAGATCCCGTGTAAAAGTATGCGCGGTCGTGTCTCAACGATTAGTGGCGACGCTTGGAGCGCGACGATTATCGCGATTGTTAATTGCCTACTCGTTTTATCGTAGGAAATGAGACGGAAAGGATGCAAACGGAACAAACTTTGGATAGCGCACCGTGTCGATCAGCGAACAAGAGAAATTCGTTGGTTGAGATGAAGGTTTATTATATTCAGTAGTGGATAGTATTTCGCTAAAACGTGAAATGTGAACAAATAGTAGTTTTTTAAAATCTTAAATTATCATATTTAATATTGAATTTTGAGAAATATTAACTCCAGAACAATTTTTCCATTAACCCCTTCAAACATAATTTATTTTCAAATTAATATATTTTAAAGTGTGCTTAATCTATAAATTTAGCTATACGTAATGCACATATGTACCTACATAAGTTTTTACGCGCTTTTTGGACACTGATAACAAAATTAACTTACGTTTGAATAATACTTAGCCTAGTTTATACTATTTTCTAATTTCTCCCTTGTTTTTAGTTTTGATTATAATTATCTATATGGCAATGTACACAAGACTTTGCTACAACTTATTATATGTAATAAAAATATTGATATGAAGTTTTAGATGACAGAAAAGCTGTATCATATCGTATATTAATACTATCTTTGGAGTTCGATCATGTTAATACAAAATCTATCACAATTTATACTCAAAGCAAAATATTGTGGATTTGACACGATAAAGACAATTGCAATAGATAACATCATCTTACGATTCCATAACAATTTTAATTTACTTGCTGCCGAATAAAGAAAATATATCGTCTCGTGTTCTGAGCTACGCGTTGTATATACGAGAACGTAGTTTAATAACAAAATACTGACTTACGCGAAACTATCTTTGTTTGTTGCTTGAGACGGTGCTTTATGCTATCCTGATAACGGAATAGGCGGAGTAGCGCGCGAACTGCGACAAACTCTCGAATCGAAGAATCAAAAAATCGAATGTCGTCTGACAGACTGACGGTATCCCATTTAGAGTTCCTCCTTGATCTTCTATTCGATCGTACTCATCGTGCGATCGACACTCGAATCCCCAGGGCTTGCCATGACTTTATAGTACTTAAGCTTTCAACATCGACCCTCGAGACGACACGATTACCTTTAGACACGGCATCTTCGTAGCCGATTAATTGCTCTATCTTCTCATTCGTCCAACTTGCGTAGATTAGCGCAAACCATAGATTAGCGGAAGATAAATTTCTTTTTTTGAGGAAACGAAAGAGTTACGGAAACGTTTCGCGAGAAAGAACAATGAAGATACAATCGACCGAGAATCTCGATCAGTTTTCCCACGTTTCTTTTACAGTTTTCTGATGCCATTGGTCGAAGTCCTTCCGCATTCTTGAACGTGTCATTAATTTTTATTCATTTCAATCAACGATGCCCAGTCCCCCGTTAGCATTACTTTGAAGTACACTATACATTTTTTATCCTTTTCTAATTTTTTTTATATCAGTCGACGAACGAAACGTGATCGGTCTTGCCATATCTCCAGTTCATCTAAGCGACGATAATAAGGATGACGAAGAGATCGAGTAGATCGCAGCTGCGCGCGCGATTTCGCGTTCAGGCTCGAGGATAAATCTTCAAAATGGTTCCTACTAATAATACATACACGAGCTACTTTGATTCGCGATATACCTTCGTAGCCTATACATATGGAGAATACATATTATATATATATACATAAACACGTTAGACATGTCTAGGGAAAAGAGAACATTAGCAATACCGTAGTGGCGCGGTTCTAAACGAAGGATCATTCGGTTTCATTCGATTTTATTTTACGTGTTTTCTCGTTCTTTGCGTGCATGGGGAATGACATCGAGAAAATGAAAGAACCATTATGGCTGACGACTTAACGAGTTTCAGGTTTAGACTATTACCTAGATAAGTAGGTTGTACACAATACTCGGAGTATACTTAACCCCCGTAGACTGTAAGAGCATTTTATCGTTGAACGCAGGGAAGTCTTGGTGACTGCGTGTCACCGACCAGACGCGACGATATCTCAACTCTTGCGAGAATACTTATATCGTGCGCAACGACGATACGTCCAATTAAAAAAAAAAAAAAAAGAAAGAAAAAGAAAAAAAAAGGAGTAAAGAAAAGTAGAATTCGGGAAATCAAAAGGATCAGTCGACCGTGAATCTTGTGGCGAGGTTTGAGAAACTTTTGAACAAGCCGCGTCGAACGCCAATTTTTGGGATGTTTCTGCAATATTTTGTTGGCGACCTGGGACGTACCACAGGACGGAAAGGAATTCTTATCCAAGACAATAATAACACGAACGTATCGGAAGCAAACGGATGGTGGACGTGTCAAAATTACGGCGAAGATTGGCGTAATTGTTCGACGTAGACTCGGAAACGTAACGTGCGGGATTTTCGAATTTTTTAAACTTTATATTGTACATATACGATGGTGTTTGTATACGATTGGAACATTTGTATACGAATCGAAGACGGAGGCTTTGCAAACGGACTTGGCGACGAGAGTTCTCGACAACCGAAATATGTTTGCGACTCCAGTTCTCCGAAATTTGTAATTTTAATACTTGTTGCTGTCAGAGAAATGAAATCATCGCGCGTTCAACTCGCTACGGGATCCACGGGTCTGGCTGAATTCGTCGCGAAGTTACTGGGAAGCTTCGTAGATAGACGTTTTTATCGTGGAAGAGAATGCGGGAATGATCGATCGAGACGCGAGTCCATGGTCTAATCGGTACAAAAGGAACCACTTCTTGCCTTGAAGCTCTCTATATGTTACGGATCAGGCGTGTCCCGAAACGAACGTAAGGGTAAAGAAGATGCAAAAAAAAAGGAGAAATTCATTGAAACAAAAAAAAATCTTTCAGAGTACAAATTTATCCGCGGTGTTTGCCGAGGAGGAGAATCTAAAATAAAAGAGAAACGCGAAACGATCGATAAGAGGATACGATCGAGGGAGGAAAGCTAAAAACTTATCCGAACGCTGGACGAAGGGAGGAAATCGAAAATCGAATCGTTTTTTCTCGTGCCATTTTGTTCAAGAATTTAGTCGAACCGGAAACTTGAAGCCTTTCGTTTCCCTTTCTTTGCCGCGTTTCGTTTTGTGACGCGGATGAGAAAAAAATTATCTTAAACGGAAGACGAGTGCACGGAAAGTGTTCCTCGCTTCATAAACCACCATGACGATCGTCAACGTTGACGGAATGCAACAGTGATCTCGTCGATAGACTTTCTTCGTCTTTGTTTTGTTTCGTTTTTATTTTTATTTTTTTTTTTTTAAACTATAAATAGGAGCGACGATTTCATCGATTGTCGCGTGATACGCGTATAATACACACGTACATACATACACACGTTTACACTAGCAAATCCAAACAGACTCGTTGAATTCTAGAAAGGGACACAGACACACATGCGCGCACGTATACACTGACACATGTACACACACGTTAAGAGAGCATATAATAACAGGGTTGGCGGGGTACGTTCGCTTCCCCTACGGAGAAGAGACAACCAGATATATTCACGCCCTCCCTCCTACAAATCATAGTTTTCTACGACAGTATTTATATAGTTATATATATATGTATACAGACAGAAGCATATATGTGTATACCGATTGTACATATACATATAAATATTTTTACACAGAGCCCCCGTGAGAGAAACCCCGCCACCCCCTGCCGGGTGTTGCAACCCCAAACGTTAAAGTAATAGTCCGTTGAACATAGTTCGCAATAGTCACTTGGAATGATACCACCAACTACAGTATTGCAATAGTTGTTAGAGAGACAATCGTGTTGCGTGAAAACCTCCCTTTCGCGACGATTTCGACCGTTCTTCCGCCCATGCTTGAACGTTTGGTCCTTGAAACCGAACAAAGAACACAGACTTCGAACCGAACAAATAAATTTATACGTTATTCCTAACTCAAGTACCGAAAAAAATTACCGAGAGACTCTTCAGGCTTTCGTCGAGGACCAAACGTTCGACGAACACGAGGTAAGAAAGTTGTTAAAGAGGAGAAAAGTATATGGTCAACATAGCTAACGCATGGCAGTCTTGAGCTAAACGTAATCCACGATTATGATTACCGAGCGAACAGTAATCGTGATTAATAATTATCGAATAATCGAACACGATTAGCTTTGAGAGATTACATATTACCAATTCACGATTGTAGATTGCAAGTGCATTGCGCACATTAATTCGGTGCCTTTGAGTTTGTATCGTAATTACTAATCAAATTTGAATGTTTTCCCGACCTTTGTGGATTCAAAGCGTTATCGATTATGATTACATCAGCCCACGGGATGGAAGTATCAATGGCGATCTATCAAACGAACTGAGTAACGCGAAGGTTCTAGTGGCATTATTCCTTCTGGACAATTTTTACGGTGCACTTCGTGCTCTTTGCATTTCACACTGAAAAATGTCTCGGTGAAGATACCGTGACTTAAAAAATTTAAAATACTATTTCAAACTTCGTAATACTGCTTTTAATTTCAATAATCGGGAACCAACCTCGAAGATGAAAATCATCATCAACCATGAAGAGTACTTTCACGAATTTAGTCTCCGTACATTTGTTATAAATACATAATTACTTCGTTGGCAAAGGCGCCGAATTAATTTATGCTTCTTATAGTTTGCGATACACAGTTAATCTGACAATTCTTAGGCGATTATTACGAAAGTAATTACAAAGTAATTACCCAACGCATGGTGGAACGCGACGACACCGGGAAACAAGGAATGGCAGCTCTCGGTATCGACAATAATAAACGCTGAGCGCGACCAAATCTCGTAAAGGTCGAATCGACCCCAGCGCCTTCGCGACGCTTTACGGTGATTATAAAGGCGGATTAACGACGCCGTAAACGCGGTAAGCCTTTCACGAATTGTCTGCCAGCCAGCATCCCGAAGGTTCGCTTCGTAACCGGAGGGGGGAATGCAAATAAGCACCCTGGCCGAGGAGGGAAATAGTCCTGACTTAACGAAACTCTCTCGCCTAAAATAAAAAGGTTTGTCTCGAAGAGAACAGAGTATACCGTGAGCAGACTAGGAAGAGGCAGACTTTCGTTACAGAAAAAAGGATCATCGAGAGCTGCCGTAACGCCAGACGCGACGTGAAAAGATTTCCAAGAACTTTTATAGAAAGAACTTGCCCTCACAATTGTTTCGTCGCATTCTGTCATCGTCTCTTCTTCCAGATGGTGTAGCGACTGCGATGTGTTAGCGTAACAAATGGGCAAAATTTGATTCGAATAATAGAGAAGAAATAAAAACCAACGCTTATTCGATCAAACAGTATTTGTACTTGTTCGTTGTAAAACTTTTCGTTTTATAAATCAAATTCAAATTCTTGTTCAACGAGTAACGAATAAACGGTTGTTCATTCTTTATTCGTTGTTCTATGTCTTTATTCGAATGAGAATTTTGCCCATCTCCGGTTAGCCTGAAAGACACGCAGGATACCACATGGATCCAGATGGTGCGCGAGGAACGCTCGTGCGTGACGTCGCGGAAGGGAGCGAGATGCCGTCTCAGGTTCATCGTAAACCGGCACGATTTAATAACGCATTATGTAAATGTAATAACAAACTCAGGAAATCTGAAGCAGCCAGGCCGTGATACTATACTTATAGAAACTACTACTACTACTACTACTACTACTACTACTACTACTACTACTAC